CCGACATGTCCCCCCCGACCTCTGTTGTAATGTACTTCGGTTGGTCCTTGGATAACATAAAATAAGACTGTGTCTATGGTGATGACGAGTGCAATGCAGAACAAGACTGTGTCAATTGTGAGTGCTGTGAGATTTTGTGGGAGTGGTTGTTTTGTACTTCTCTCTAAGTTTGCAAATCCTAATGATCAAAGGTTGTGGATCACAAAGTTTCTGGCTTCCCTAAAACGTTTCAGTTTTTTCATTTAAAGGACGACTACCTCTTCCTGTGTCGGCCTGGGGTGGCACTCCGATTTTCAGGAGGCTGAATCAAAACGACGGCCACTGATGAGATTTATCAATGGCGACCGTCCTCGGGCCCAGCCTCTGATTTTTAGGAGTAGGCTATTTTCCCGTTTCCTAATGAAGCACCAGTGCATGGGGCACCTGGGCCGTGGGCCTGACACCTAAAATTTTGGAAGTGTGATGCGAAAACGCGATCACCGATCCAATTTATCAAGGGCGGAATTGTTTGACGTTTCGGCCTCGTTTTCTTGTGGGGACAAGTTTTGGACTGCGAGGCTGGGGCCTTGTAGTAGCTGTTTAAGAAAGAACAGATGCATGCATGGTGTGTGTTAGAAGTATGCGATGATTTTATTTATGAATTCGAGTGTACATGGGCAATGGGATGATGGTATTGAGTGCAGTGCAGACTGTGTGGATGGTGTTCTTCTGCTCGCCATAACTGATTCCAACTGATGGGACTGATGTTGGTGTTGCAGGCAGCAGTCGAGGAGGGAATAGTTGTGGGTGGTGGTTGTACTCTCCTGAGACTGTCTAGCAAGGTTGATGCTATTCAGAGCACGCTGGAGAACCAAGAGCAAAAGGTAGGTGGCTGGTTTTCCTTCCTTCGTTGACCCCGTTGTGGGGGGAGGTGGGGAGGGGGAGGAGAGGACAGGGGCTGTCTCTTATACACATCTAGATGTGTATAAGAGACAGGGTTTGGTCTTACTCTTTGAGCGCGATCAGAACCGACCGGTGGATTAGATTGAACTTGTGTGACTTGACTGGAGCCAATGGTTTAGACTTTCGGGACAGGAATGGGTCTCGCGGGTTGAATAAGACTTTTGTAAGTTGAATAGAATCAATGGAATGGAGCTGAACTTCAGAAATTGAAGCAATGAATTGAATAGAGGTGATGACGGTTTAGACTTTCGGGACAGGAATGGGTCTCGTGTGAACTTCAGAAAGTGAAGCAATGAATTGAATAGAAGTGATGACGGTTTAGACTTTCGGGACAGGAATGGGTCTCGTGGATTGAATAAGACTTTTGTAAGTTGTTTAGAATCAATGGAATGGAGCTGAGCTTCAGAAATTGAAGCAATGAATTGAATAGAATTGATGGTTGAGCAGAACAAGCTGAACTTTGGAAATGGGAGGAATGAATGGAATAGAGCCGTGATGGAATTGGATGTTGAGTTAGGTTGTCTTGCATTGCGATTTACATTTGGTTTCTTTGTTTTGTGAACAGCAGCCCCTCCGCCCCAGACCCCCCCCGCCTGGCCTGTTGTGTCGAGTTATGCTGGCAGGAATCGTGCGGAAGTGGGTGCTATAAATGTAAAGCAGGTTCTCACTTCTGGAAATATAAAAGTAAGGCGTTACTGAAATCGACTGGACGTCACTCTAATTTCTGATGTGCAGGTTAGGCAAAGTGATAACATTAACTATGGCTACAATGCTGCAACTGGAGTGTATGAAGATTTGATGGCAGCTGGGATCATTGACCCGACGAAGGTAATTAATGCTCTCTGCTGTCCCGACCGGGGGAATAATTGGAGTGGTTCTTTGGGGATATTGGGAGCTGTTCTTTATGTATCGGCTGCCTATTTGCTGATTCTGGAATGACCCAATAAAGTGCATAAATCAACTTCTTGAATTGCTGTTTTTCCATTGATTTCCGAACCTAATCTTACAACACGCTGAGCAGCTGTGTGTTCTGAGGTCCGAATTGAAAGTCGAATCTATATTCGTCTGGTGTTAGCCACACACACACACACACACATATATAGTTTCACAGACTCAACAGGAGGCAGAACCCTTTCAGCCACCTGATGACTCGGTGAAACTCCGACGAATCCCTACGGTTTACCAGGCAGCTCTGTTTGACTATATATAGTCAAACAGTAGGGGATTCGTCGGAGTTTCACCGAGTCATCAGGTGGCTGAAAGGGTTATATAGTCAAACAGAGCTGCCTGGTAAACGGTAGGGATTCGTCGGAGTTTTCTGAGTCATCAGGTGGCTGAAAGGGTTCTGCCTCCTGTTGAGTCTGTGAAACTCCGACGAAACAGTTTGTCGCAGCGCCTCGTTGAAGCGGGTCTGAAGTTGTAGAAAGTTGAAGTGGGTCTGTAGGCAATGGAGGACTTTATTATTTAAAGTAGTGGGTCTGAAGGCACTGTAGGAATTTAAAGTGGTTCTTAAAGTGCGTCTTAAGTTGAGGTAGGATCGATTAAAGTGGGTCTATCCTCCTTCCCCTGGCTTTTTTCCCCTGTTCCTCTCTTTGTATCCTTCCCCCCCCCCCCCCCCCCCCCCGGCTTTCTTCCCCTGTTCCTCTCTTTCTCTGCAATATCTATTGATTTTTTATTCTTTTGTTTGAAATGCAGGTTGTGCGGTGCTGTCTGGAGCATGCTGGCTCTGTGGCCAAGACCTTCTTGACGTCAGACTGCGTCGTTGTAGATATTAAGGAGCCTGAGCCGGCTGGTGCTGCCATGGGCAATCCTATGGACGCTTCAGGTGAGTTTGATGGCCCCTCCTTGCAATGCATAATGAATTATATTATGGAGGCTGGCGTAACTGTTATCGAGATCACACAGATTCGTGTGGAGAGCTCACTGGGTGCTTGCACGATGGTTATTATACTGCTCTCGACAGGAGTGTTAGTGTCAAACCACCAGCGTTGACCCTTCACTTGCCGAGCCTGGAAACGTCCTCCACGTCAACAGAAAATGAACTCACAGGGGTCTCCTTTGGCCTGACGCCGCCATCCATTTTGTCCTGGTATGCGGACCTGCAAAACTTGCGGTGCATGAACAGCCGCATGGAAAACATCGGTGGTCGGGGTATTGGCGCCGCCAGCCATTTTGCCTTGGTATGCCGACCTGCAAAACTTCCGGTGCATTAACAAGGTCCCACACATCACACACAACCAACTCTCTCTCCCATCCACACAGTGCTGGCTGAAGACCCTACTGATACCAGGCAGGGGGATCAAGCTGACAATATCAGATGGTTGGAAGAAACCATACTGTAGGTGGCCATGGGGATTGAAACACAACCTCCAGGATGTGACTTGCGTGCCTAACCAATTGAGCTAGGGCGGTTGCTTGGGAAGAGGGCATGCGATCTTTTGTTTCTTTTGAACACCCCCCCTCACCAGACCATCTTCATGCCCTCCGGCCCGGCGCCCATCCCCCCCCAAAACCCTGGGTTGGCGTTTTGCAGGGGCAGTTCTCATCTTCTGTGTACCATTTGTTTATGTAATGCCATCTCGGATGGATCGCTACGGGTGGGCTGTCATCTTAAATGCGAAGGTGCTGTCCAGTCGTTGGTTCGATCGCTATTAGTGGGCTGTCATCTTAAATGCGAAGGTGCTGTCCAGTCCTTATAGGGACAGGAAAAGGGAAAGAGAGGGTTAATGAACATGTGATTCTGATCAGTGCATCTGGTCTATAAGTTGCTCTTGTACGTCTGTCTCGTTGTGAAGAGTTTGTGTTTTTTTCCTTTCTGAATGCTGTAGTCTTTGAGTTCATCCATCAAGAATTGAACATGAGTGCTTTGGCAGCGATACTCCCGGAATGGTCATAAGGAACACCTGCCATAGGTTCTGGCAAAAATGGAGCATGTATCTTCCGCCGAAACACAGAAAAATACATCCTCGATAGGTTTTTCTTTTCTCACATTCCGTCAGTTGTGAGGTTATGCCCTGCGGCTATGATGATGACATCAAACCTCACTGTTCGGTCATCATGTTATGTTTCTTTTCGTTCTGTGGTTGTGTTTCTTTTGTGCATGCTATTTCTTCTGTTTTCTTTTTTTGTGTGTAGACTCTGGATTATGTTGAAAGCGACCCTTTTTTTTTATTATTTTAAATGCTTACGTGAGCTGTTTGTCGTCTGCTGCATGGATCCTCCTTGTGTTGCAGGTTATGGGTACTAGGCTTGAGCACAGGGGTCTGGTAATTGTTGTAATCTGCGAGCAGCGGTCTCCAGGGAATGACTGTGGCTTCAGCAGAGGAGGGCAAGAGAGTAGGTCGATGTAGGGTATATTGTCCTTGTCAGTAGTGATTAGGTTTGTTTGCTCTTAGGTCAATGCGGGATTCGATTCAATTTTTGATGAGATAGCACATCCAACCGACTTCTTGAGGCTGTTACGCTCCCCTCTTTTTTTCTTGAGTGAATTGGAGCCTATACATCATTCTTCGTGTATTGCGTTCGCTTTCCTGAGATGATGCTTCATCAGCATTGTCTTTATGGGATTTAAATCATCATCGAAAAAGAAAATTTCCTTCTGAAGTGTGAGCGCTTTGTAAGCTACATATGATATTGTCTTCATTATGCTCCATGCTCTTGTGTGTGTGTGTGTGTGTGTGTGTGTGTGTGTAGGTCTGTGTGTGTTTGTGACACGTGTTTTCTAGTGTTCATGTTCGCTATACACATCTCCACGAAGAAAAGCATCGACTTCCAGACTGTTCTGTCGGACTTAACTCTGAAAGGAGGGTCTGTGTTTGCGACACGTTTCAGTGTGTGTGTGTGTGTCTCCGTATGTTTGTGTGTCTGCACGCTGAATGTGTGTGCACGGGTTCATGTGGGTATGTGTGTGGTAGAGAGAGAGAGAGAGAGAGAGAGGATGCTGTATGTGTGTGCCCATGTGTGTGTGGTAGAGAGTATGTGTGTGCATGGGTTCATATGTGTGTGGTAGAGAGAGAGAGAGAGAGAATGTTTGGAAAGCAGTCTGCAGAATTTTATGATGATACAAAATTGAAACGAGTGAATCAGAGGGTCTCAAAGCTACTCTTCAGTTTGGAAAGTAGTCTGCAGTACTTGCACAAGCCGGTGCTTTTTGGTTTGTTTTATGTACCGTGAATCCGATATGAATCAGAGGGTCTCAAAGCTACTCTTCAGCTGAGATTGTGTGGAGAGAACAATTCATTTTTGTGTGCTGCAGTCTCCATTGGGAGTTTTGTGTGGAGAGAACAATTCATTTTTGCGTGCTGCAGTCTCTATTGGGAGTCTTCCGCTCCATTGGGAGTCTTCTGTGGAGAGAACAATTCATTTTTCCGTGCTGCGGTCTCCATTGGAAGTCTTCCAGTTTGGAATGCCCCCACTCTTGCCGTGAGTGTGTTGTGGGAGTGCGATTGAAGCCCTGGCCACTGTAGGGCCTGTTTACACCTCAGCCAGCACGACCTTTGGTTAAAAAAAATAAAAATAAAAAAAATGGGTCCTGTGAATTGAGCTGATGTCAAAGATGCACAGCCGTACGTATCACACACATGCAACACATGTTTACGGAGATTAACTTGGAGCTCTGTCTTCTTCCTGTTGTCTTTAGCGATTACAGAACAGACATACACAGGCTCTGCCGTTTTTTGTTTGGAGTTTGTGTGAGGAGTTGCCGTTTTTCTCATGAATTTGGACTAGCAGTTTGTTGTGTAATTGACGACATTGTTCAGAGGTATTGGTAAGTTGGTAAACCCTTCATGAGTCGTGGGGGTGATTGACGGCCTTTTTTTTTTAAGAAAAAGCTGTCTTCTCATCGGGGGACAGCTATATCTCTACTGTGTGGGAAGAAGCACCCAAGCACCTAACCCCTAGTGAGAGATGGCAGGACTCTTACTTCTTCCCAGGACCAGCTAGGGGGGGACAAGCCAACGATCTCATGTTGTTGGCGCGAAGTATGCTGCAGGTGGCCGCGGGAGTAAACGGATGAAGGGAATCGAACACATGACCTTCTCTATGTCGCTTGTGTGCTCTACCTGATGGTGAGTTCTAATCCGTCAGTCGAATGCCTCGTGCACTGAGTCTTGGGGTTCAGCATCTGACGAGTTGATGGGGCGGTCAGGTAGAGCACACAAGCAACATAGAGAAGGTCATGTGTTCGATTCCCTGCATCCGTTTACTCCCCGCAGCCACCTGCATCAGTGTGCTTTATTGTGGGGTTGTGTATATATAAACAGACAGTGCACATGCATATAATATATGCACATGCACAGATGCATAGGCATGCACAAGTACCCTCGTATAAACACATACATGCACCCACACTTCACTAGGGCTACATACAACAAACGTACATGCATGCTTTCTGATGCAGGTTGGTGAAATTGCAGATACACCCATCTTTCTGTTTTACGAAGCGCATATACCCCTCCAGAACGAGCTTTTGCACCTGTTCCACTGCACCATTGCATGCACTCAGACACCCTTCTAGAGCCGGTGCATTCAAAATATTGGGCTGCCCGGAATACACACCTGCATCAGAAAGCATCAGAAAGCATCAGATAGTGCACATGCATATACCCGGCAGAGCCTGGTTGGTGAAATTGCAGATACACCCATCTTTCTGTTTTACGAAGCGCTTCGTAAAACAGAAAGATGGGTGTATCTGCAATTTCACCAACCTGTGTATGTGTTTATACGATCAGAAACGGGGGGATGCAACCTGTTGGTGAAATTGCAGATACACCCATCTTTCTGAGGGGACTCTGAATCCAGATACGGTCAAACCAATAGGGCAAGGCACATAGATTTGGAAACGGGGGGATGTTTCAGAAAGCATCAGAAAGCATGCATGTACGTTTGTTGTATGTAGCCCTAGTGGAGTGTGGGAGATGCATCAGAAAGCATCAGAAAGCATCAGATAGTGCACATGCATATAATATATGCACATGCACAGATGTATAGGCATGCACAAGTACCCTCGTATAAACACATACACAGGTTGGTGAAATTACAGATGTATAGATTTGGAAACGGGGGGATGCATCAGAAAGCATCAGAAAGCATCAGATATTGCACATGCATATAATATATGCACATGCACAGATGTATAGGCATGCACAAGTACCCTCGTATAAACACATACATGCACCCACACTCCACTAGGGCTACATACAACAAACGTACATGCATGCTTTCTCCCCCGTTTCCAAATCTATGTGCCTTGCCCTATTGGTTTTACGGTATCTGGATTCAGAGTCCCCTCAGCTCCGGGGAGGATGTGCCGATGACGACGATGTGTCAAAGAAGCTGAATTGATTCAAGGCATCTGGCTATGGTTGACAGTTGGCACAGCTTGGGTGCCATAGTCTGATGTTTCGGCGCCAAGTCTGATCGACCTGAAAACAATACCTCTTTTCTGTGGCTCCGAGTCAGAAAATTATCAGCCTTTGCAATCAGCCTCAGATTTTTGCAACTTCTTCCAGCAAACACCCTTGATGGAAATCGTTTTTGTACTGAGGGCTGGTTTCTTTTTCGTGTACATGATTGACATGATTGAATATCTTGCCCACATAGAACGGGATAGAAAGAAAACCTGAAGCCAAAAAAATGAAGAAGGCCTTTGCCATATCCGCATTAAATGGAGTCGCAACTGGCGCAGCCCATGAGGTCCCTCGTCTTCATTTCTCTTTCGTGCACTCTTAAAATTGTTGCTGTGAAAACGTTGTCAATACCCACGTAACACCTCTCTCTCTCTCTCTCTCTCTCTCTCTCTCTCTCTCTCTCTCTCTCTCTCTCTCTCTCTCTCCCCCCACCTCTCATACACACACTCTCTCTCTCTCTCTCTCTCTCTCTCTATCTCTCTCTCTCTCTCTCTCTCTCTCCCCCCACCTCTCACACACACACACACACACGCGCGCACACAAACGCACACACACACATGCACGCACACTTTTGTACTGGGCCACAATCACATTTGCTGGAACTGGCGATTGGTTCCAAACTGGTCACCTGCCATGCGGGAACAGAATGTGACATATCCAGAGGAAGTGGAGGAGGGAGAGGTATGAGAAGGCAATGGCAAGGCTGTGGCGGTCTCTCTTTCTCAGAGACTGAGATTTCAATGCCCATAGCAAGGGTGGCAACCTTGAAGCCACCAAGATCCGATTTGATTTGTAATAGACGAGAGGCAAAAGCTGCCCTGGAACTTGTTCTTTAAACCACCAGTACTTGCTGAAGTCGTGCCCGTTAACGTGCAGCGAATTTAGGAAATGTACGGGCCAATACAGGAGCGCCCGAACTCATCCAACTAGAAACGTTTCTACTGAATCTACTCTATTTTTTTTCCGCGTCCGATATCTGGGCCAAAGTATTGAAGGCAATGTGTGTTTGATGGAATGGAACAAGCAATGTAAAAAGAGCGTCTTCATTCTGGATGAAGGTCTTAGTGGTTTGAGGTTTTAATATTGAAAACAGTCATATTTCAATACATTGAGGGTTCTTGTCCTCTCCTTTCTTTGTCTCTAGACATTTTTCCTGTTTTGTTTTTAGTTTTATCAATGTTCAGGTCTCCTTCTCTTTTTTTGCCTTTCTTTTGAGTTCGCAAGAACTTTGTCACGCTGTTGTGTTGGGCTAGTTCAAGGGTGCATGTTGGACTCGGCCTCTGGGCAAAATAAATTAAAAAATAAACAAAGTAAAGAATACCTTTTCATTTTATTTCTTATTTGAAAATTGGTAAAGAATTTCGATGTGACCCTGAGCCAAGTGTTTGTTGTTCATTTTATTTTTCTGGAAAACAGTTTTTTTCCAGAGATTTTAACTTTTTTTGAATTTTTTAGATTTTTTATATATATTTTTTCAGATTTTTCAGGTTTTGTTGTTGTTTTGTTTTGTTTTTGGTTGGGACCTTCTCTGGTCCTTGCATGGTTGGGTGTGCTGGGAAAAGGTTGACCTGGGTGGCCCGGGTGGTAGCCTAGTTTTTGTTCTTTTGAAAATGATTATGTAAATGATTTGGAAATAGTGCTTTGTTTGAAGCGCGTCATTATTGAAATGATTTTACCTGTAAAAAATGGTGTTTTCTATATTTCCTGTCTTTTTCTTACACCACCACCTACCTCCACCAGTGTTTGGAAAAGTGGTTGCTTTTCCACTTTTTCTGAATTTTTCTCGGGGGCCTGGCTGGTGGCCTAGTTTTTGTTCTTTTCTATGATTAAGTCCCCTTCGAAAAACAAAAAGATAAACAAAAGATCATGTTGGGGAAGGGCGTGTACCAAGTTGTGCTCACATAAAACACTTTCGTATCTAACCCTCTATAGTGGTCAGTTTCAGGTTTCATTGTTTTTGTTTTTTGTTTTTGTTCTTTTTTTTGGTTTTGGTGCCTTGACAGGGAGGCACGACGTAGTCCAGGGCTTCTGATACGTTGTGGGGAAGGGCATGCGCACACTACCGGCTTTCCCTCTTAAGTTCAGTTTCGATATTCTTTTCCCTCCTCTTCTTTCTTGGAGTGACACCCTTCCCGTAGCGCCCTCACTCACAAGATGACTTTTTTTCGGGCTAGGTATCTATCAGGTATGACATCCAATGGGGTGTTTGTTTTTAATCTTTTATTTCCTTTTTAAGTCTGGTCGTGCTTTTTGTTTCTTTTTTTTAGGAGTATTAGAAAAGAAACAAAACGGATCCCAGGCTCAGCATAATCACATGGCGACTTTGGGCTAGGTATTACAAGGTATCACATCCAAAGGTGTGTTTTTTTTTTGTTTTTTTTTTTCCTTGTGATTGCTTTTGAAAGTCTGGCCGTTWTTTTTWTTTTTTTTTTCAGGACAACATCATAAAAGAAACGAAATGGATCCCAAACTTGGCAAAACTCGGTGTGCAGTAACAATCAGGGTTGGTGAAAGCAGTCTCGGAGGTAGTGGCGGTTTATGAAACTTTTGTTACAAATGGGTGTGGCACCCGAAGGAGCAGCCAAGTCGCGGCCAAAGCTCTATTTTCTTCGCATCCTCCAAACAAAAAATCTCTTTAAACTAATAGCGAAGATAAATTTCTCTTTTGTAATATAGCTTTCGTGTATTGAAGGAGAACTTTCTCTCGAAATCGCGTCTGCCTAAATAACTTTGCAGCCTTGTGCATGGACACTGGCAGGGCAGTAGAATTTTGTAAGGTTGGACACACACTCCCCTTGGGATGACGCCGGTAAGCTATTGCAGATATTGCTTGCGCACCACACAAGGGGTAGCCCATGGTTGTTGTATGTTGGGACTGGGTGATGGTGGGATATCCTGATGCTCTTGGTCTATCGGGTGGTCAGGATATTGTTGGGTCGAAGGATTTTTTTACTGGAAGTCAGAGAACCCGTAGTACCTGCCTAACTCGAGAGAGACCTGCTAACAGGA